AAACTGTAATTTCCGTCGCTGGAAATTTATAAAAAGCGACTCCATTTGCACCAAATGAAACTTCAAAACTCGAATATTATCTTTTGGTGGTTACAATTTTTATTAATGAAAGAATTTAATCAAGATAAATTCAGGAAAACTCAAATTATCTATAGGAGTATCAAACATCATTTTCTTACACATAAAGATGCACAAAAAATGCTTTTTAATACTTATGGTTTGTATATTTGTATTGGAAAATGGGACAACAGTTAAATTAATTGAAATAATTAGTTAAGTTGAATAAAAAATAGATATAATAAAGAAAATTGTAAATATTGAGAAAGCGAGAAATGTCAGAAACCAAATTCATAAAATGAAAACACGAAAGTTTTAGATATATAATAAAAAATTATACAGGTATTTGATAAATTAAATTAACAAGTGCAGTTTCAAAATGAATTGATAAAAAAGTTGATTTCACATTAAAACTTAATTAAGTGTTTGAGAGATATCGTCAAAAATACAAAAAGTTACTTTGTATAAAAAGGGATATTGGTAACAACACACAAACACCTTCAAAGCCTAGAACACTAGGTTGAATTTTGATTTTGACAAGAAATTTGAACAAAAATCATATTAATGAGCTTTCATTTTCATAATTTTACAAAATTTGCACCACAACATACAACAACCATAATTTCTTGTATTTTAAAGTTTATCTAAAAAATAACAAGAGAAAATAACAAGCGAGTAGAAACATAAAATATTAGAAATAATGATGATTTTGCAAAAATAGTTGTCAAAGTAAAAGTAGTTGAAAGGAAATTCACACTCTCCTTTATACTTATAAATTACTTCGGGGAAAAACTAACATGATATTCATTCAGGATAAAATATAATATATCTTATTTCTGAATTTTAAGATATTATAAGTGATTATTAATAAGTGTCTGGTATTTACAAAAGACTTTTGGTTTATTACTTCTTATCTTTCTGAATAGGTCAACATAAGAAAGATACCTATAGGGATACTGGTACGTCTCTTATTCAATCCAAAGGAGTGATAAATCACTATATTGTTCCTTTCCAATAAGACGGCAAAGGCACTTTGTTAGGTCGTTTCGTCAACAACTTGTAACTTCTTAATCAATATCTGTAAAAATAGAAAGAAAAATTGTCACATAATTGCGCTAAGCTCGTCGTGAGGGATATGAATGTACCTCGGAATCTTTACTGTTTTTGTTTAATAATAATAATTTTACTCATTGCTAAAAACAATAATAAATCATTTGTACCTCACATATTTAAGAGTAATTTAATTTTGAAAGTTAGATTCCTCATATTTTATTTAATCTCTATATACATCTGCCGGATATCAATAATGACGATAACAGATAATAATAATAAAAACAGTAGGTACAATATAAACAGTATAACATAATAGCAATAATAGTTATTTATTGTATAAGTGTTTTAAGTAGCATTTTATACACGCGAGAACGTAGTTCGAGCATTTCATATTCCTAAGTTGATAAGATAAGATAAGACAATTAAAACACGAATGCAATACAACGTGTTGTAAATACAAGAAAGTAATTGTGTTCCTGTGACTGTTTTTGAAGAAGCTTAACAAGCAATTTTCCATTTATTGCCAGCGAAATCCAGGGAACATGCAAAAAATTGTTCGTAGAATTTAACGAATGGAGGAAAATTCGGAGAGTAATGACAATAAACGAAGACGTCATGCTATCGTATTTTTTAAATTTGAAGAAAAAATATGCAATTTCATCTATCTGGTTGAAGGATGCGATGTTGAAGGCTACTATAAAGGTCTACAAATATATAGATATGGAAAATACAACAAGCTTACTGCTTATTTGTAGTGAAGCGTGAATCTAGAGGATACAAAGCAGAAAAGCTGCAGTATTGGACAATATTGAAGAATTTTTTACTGGGGCTTCCGATAAAGACTAACGTAATATTTCTTTACCTTATACACATCGTTAGGTATATAGTGAACCTTGAATTATTTTAGGTTGCACTAGTAATGGTGCCTGTCGACGCTACGAATTGACAAATTTGAAAATTAGTGACTTACAGGAAGTTGGCAGTTACCTTCTTGTTTCAATACCTGACATCAAGACAGACATTTCAAGAAAATTTACAATTGTAGAAGGATTTTGCGTGATTGCTGTTGAAATATGCAGAAAATATATTTCTCTGCGCCCAATTCGCCTATCACAAGGCAGATTCTTCAACACATTGGCAAAGCTACCCTCAACAGTTGCTTAATTCCTCAATATTGCAAATCCAGAAGCATATACTGGCCATTGCATGAGGCGTACTTCAATAACTTTATTGGCCAATAAAGGTGCTGATCCAAGGAAATAAATTAAATTTGATTTATTATAGGTATATTATTTTTTCATTATTCTACTAGTGAAATAAAGTTACTTTATTCCACTAGTAGACATTACTTTAGACGGTTCATATGTGTCTGGATAAAGTGATTGTGGATAAAAATTATTATTACTATAAGATCTTTCATAAATCAAAAATGTAGCCGCATAACCAATATAGCCAGTATAGCGCTCTTAGTGGTTTTAGAATTCTGTGTGGCATCACTGTCCTAAATTGTATAGAGTAAATAAGATGGTACAATTGTTAGTAGGAATATTTTAAATTGGAAGACCTTCAGGTCTTAGAATTATGCCAAAATTATACCCAAAAGGTTTTTTAATATCTGACATGTGGCTGTAACAGTATTAAGTAATATCTCACTTTTTTAGCGGGACTAAAACATGGTCATGCACGAACAACTTGTGGTAGTTGCACAAATAATAAAAACATTAGTTACAGTCAAACTGAATGAATCGCGGTATTTAAATTGACTCGGTTCTTGAACATTAAGTGCCAAATAAAAACAAACGATATTATTTTCATTGCAACAGTACAGACCCGGGCTACATAACATGTCATAAAAACCTTAACATTAACTTTGTTTATTTAAACGTCTGCGGTTACGATTATCGCTGCGAATAGTAGGAAGTAACTCTCTCGTTCGTTTTAATTCGGCCGAAGTTTGAGGCGAATTTGTGGAAAGTTGAGCTTAATTGTTGCGTGAAATACAAATTTACGTAAAAGTTATCACTGCAAGTGTGGTTATTTCAAGTTTGTAAGTCTTACAGCTGGTTATTACAGAACATAATAAGTTCTGGAACTACTATTTTAGAAATACCATTACAGCTTTATTAGGCAGAACTGTCTGCAGGGGTTTGCTTTTTATTTCCTCACTCGAAATCTCTTGTAATGATGCCTGTAACTGTTTACGGTAATATTTAAATGCTCCTCAACAAATACACAATTGCTGCTGCAAATTTGTAACGAACCTTGCAAGAAATTATTCAATAAACAAACTTTTAATATTGTAAATGCATTGCAAAGACCTTCTGCTTGATGCTAGTAGGTATATGCATACGTACCTATAGTCTAAAATAATCTACTACCATTTATACATAAACGATATATGATCTAGATAACAAGAAATAACTTTTACAATAAATAAATGTAGATTTTACTTGCTAGATCATGGATCAGACCCTAGACAAGAGGACTGTATTTCTTGTTAGATCCTTGCTTGGTCACCATGTGGTGAATGACAAATCACACAATTATATTAATGTAATAATATTTCGGTTGACTATTATTTGCACTTATGTTACTGTTTGTAGGGATTCCCATCTGAAAGTGACAAGAAGTAGCAACTTCGACTATTGTGTTGTTTCTGGAACGAATTGTCCCCATTTGAAAGAGGATGATCAACATCCTGCATTTGTAGTCGCATCTACATTTCATTCTATCATGACAGTAAATAGATAAATTTAAATTACAAAAACTGCAACTTCAATACTCACGTCATTTGGTTTGGTTTAATGATGACATTATCAGTAATATCAAATTAAAGAGTAAATTCTGAAGTAATTATAAAATAGCATATAGTATTGATGATTACAACGTTTTAAAGAAATTCCATTAGTTTAGCTTTAAAAAACTCTTCTTCATTTGGTCTCATTCAAGATCTAGTTACATTCTGCATGAATCACAATGGTATACAGGTAAAAACAGGTAAAAAATATAAATATACATAGTTCTATTGTCAATGCGTTTGCCAAATATTTTTCCAAATTCTTTATATCTTGTGGTACTAAAAATAATAGTACCTCCACCTTATCATTTATTGGCTATAGTATCCATTTCATTTTCGATATTGCTAAATATGACATTAAAAAAATAACAATTGGAGTTTGAATTAATTCCTACATTTTTAAATGCAAGGAATATTTACACAAATATGGAAAGTGTCGCGAATATGCCTCTTGCACTAAGAACAAAGACCACCTTTATGAAGATATTAATATCTTAGTATCGACATGGATTTACGAGTGGTAGTTCTACTACCGCAAACTCCATTTTGTTGCTGAAGTTTGGGTTACGAATTAGGTTGATTGTTGCCGATTTTCCTAAATTATTCGATTAACTTAATATCAGTCTACTAACAATGAAATTGGAATCAGATGATATCTCTCTCGTTCTGTCATGTCGTCAGCTAACAGATACCAGTCTGTACAATGTAGTGGCTTACTTACTCCATGCGGATGACCTTGTTGTTTTTATAAGTTAAATGTTTAATTGATTCCACTAGATTACAATATTGACAAATTAAAGACAGTATTCAAATATAAATCTATGTTCGAATGAAAGCAGTTTTAAAATTACATATATCCTTCAGTCGATGCAATAATCTTGTAGACATTGGTTATAAAATTACTGAATCTCTATTAAACCGAGTTACGCAATTAGCTGATCTTGATGCCTAGTTATCATTTGATGTACACATTCGTTTAATAACCAAGTCTGCTATAAAAACTTAGGCTTCGTTGCGTGTAATGCTAAAGGCTTATGTTCTAAAGGCATTTCATTTTCCAGTTACTAAAATATTTTTCCTCTTTTCAGGTACATTTCCACACGAGGACGCCTAATATCTAAAGGACAACGGATAATGTTTTAATTTCGATAAAATTATATGGTAAAAATGGATATTTGTCGACATCTCTCGTTACTGGCTTGCTGCCTCCTCACGGGTGAGTTCTCTACACTCCTGATTTTATTATACATTTTTTTCATAATTTTTCACTTTATTTCACAAATACATAATTTATGGACCTGTTGCCCTGGTGCAGTGAAAGCGATAAACACATTCTGTGAAAAATTATGGGCATTATATAAAATACCGGTAAATCCGATATAAAATGATGATACACCAACATGCTTGAATGTTAATAAATAACAATACGAAATTATTTATGGCACTTTAATAAAAATTTCTGTAATAAATCTCTCGAACATACCAAAAATGTTTTCATTAATACTTCAGAGATATTTCCTAAAAAAGTTAATTTTTAATGAGCGATGCTAGTTTTGAAATAACAGAAATTATAGAGAAATAAACAGGGTGGTACTAAATTGTGCCTCGATAATTCCATAAAAAAATATGGTGACCTCTTTTTTCAAAAATTAATAACATCTTCATAGAGAGGAGATAGACGTCACATTTTTTAAGGACAGGTGCTTTAAAAGTTTTTCTTGTTCATATTTTGAACATATATTTATGGATATGTAGGATATCATAGTAAAGGGTGACTATTACTATTTTATTCTTAACTTTTTATTTCGACCCCATCCTAAAAATATTGATCATTAAACTGTTAGGGAAAGAATGATACCCTTGTTTAATGTCGTTAAAATGAATCGTTTTCGAGAAATTGTGCTTTGCATATAAAGGTGTACTTTGAAATGTCACACATTTCGAACAATTTCCATAAAACGGAAATAATTTTAATTTATTTTTGTTGAGCGAAATAAACACCAAAAATTTCATGTAGGTGGATATTTGAAAAGTGCATAAAAATGCATTGCACAAGTTTTAAATTACCTAATGGTTTAGCGATAACTCAACTAAAGTACTTGTTTTATGGAAATTGCTGGAAATATGTGACTTTTTTATTTAAAAAATTTATTATTCCGCTCTTTCCTGTGTAAATCTGAAATTATCGAAAAATTATTTATCCAATAAAGACCAATATTTTTCATAAGTATATATTTCTTTAAGTAGTCTAAAGTAAAATTTAAAATGTTGGAAATGATATTTACGGGGTAAGTAAATATATACCCCAGCGCGACATATAGGATTTGAATAATTATTGTAATGCCCTATATTTAAACTTGTATAAGTTGCCTCTAAAAACTGAAATTATCATGAAATATACAGTGCATTCGAAAAGTAACGAATAAATTCATTATTTTTTAAATTGAGAAGTTTTCGAAAAAATCCCCTGGCACGTCGATTTTGTTTTTAAAAAAGGCACTTTTTGACATATGACCCATATTTGTGACGTCATCGTTGTTCGAGATATGACGTCATCGACAATTTTTTTAAATAGCAACCCCCAATTTTGACCATGCCGTTTGAATGAGCGTGTCGTTCTACATACACAGATCATTAAAAGTTATGGTGTTACATAACAAAAATTTCAAGAAAATAATGTTTGAAGATTTTAAAATTTAATTTTCACAATACTGAAAATGATAATGATTATGTAAAAATCGACTAAATTAAATGTTCAAATTGTGCACCGTTGGCTGCCTGACAGTAGCCAAGACGATTAATAAATTCTTTTTGGACATTATCAATAACTTCAGGAGGTATACGATGTATCCCGTGACGAATTCTTGCTTTTAAATCTTCTAAATTAACCGGTCTAGTAACGTATACTTTGCTTTTTAAGTATCCCCACAAGAAATAATCTAGAGGTGTCAAATCAGGCGATCGGCCTGGCCACTCAATCGGCCCCCTTCTCCCTATCAACGATTCGGGAACAGCTCATCTAAATAAGCACGGACAAGTGTTGCATAATGGGGAGGCGCACCATTTAGTCGATTTTTACATAATCATTATCATTTTCAGTACTGTGAAAATTATATTTTAAAATCTTCACATTATTTTCTTGAAATTTTTGTTATTTAACACCATAATTTTTCATGATCTGTGTATGTAGAATGACACGCTCTTTCAAATGGCGTGGTCAAAATTGGGGGTTGCTATTTAAAAAATTGTCGATGACGTCATATCTCGAAAACGATGACGTCACAAATATAGGTCGTATGTCAAAAAGTGCCTTTTTAAAAAACACAATCGACGTGCCAGGGGATTTTTTCGAAAACTTCTCAATTTAAAAAATAATTAATTTATTCGTTACTTTTCGAAAGCACTGTATATCTCCTATGCATTTCTAAAGGAGTATATCTTTCGAAAAAAAAAATTATATTAAAAGGTAATATTATTTTTTATGTATATTCATCCCAAAAAAAAACACAGGAAACAATTTATGACCATACTGTGTCTAATAAATTTTCTAAAAAGACGCATTATATAAGAAATTAAAATGTATCTACAGTCCGTACGATATTTGCTGAGATACGGATTGTTGATAGTTAAGTACTTATAATTTTAATATTCAAAATAGTAAACTAATTGCAATAAAAGAAATTATATTATCTGCTTTCAAAATACTTAAACTAAAACAGTCAATTGATACAGATAATCTCCTTCCATATATTTTTAAAGCATGTTCTGAGCTATCTATGTCATCACTTATATTTAATGATTATTAAAGCTAACATCCATGCACATATCAAAGTATTGGACTAACAGGGAGAATGTACAATCAGAAATTGGTGCAAATAGAAGATTTAATATCCAGTTTCAGAATTTCTCCTAAAAAATAGAGTCGTTTAAACATCCAAAGTTCTAAACCTACGACGTGGCAACCAGCTACAAAGGGGCAGCTTTTGATTTGAAAAAAAAATTCAATGTCATGACTACAAAGATACTGGAAATGGTAACGTTTCAAAAACGGTCAGTTTCTGAGAAGATCTCGAACAATTAAACCATTGACTCGAAAATCGGGCTGGAAATTTTTCAACTTTTGCCATTTACTGACTTTATTATTTTTTAATAATGATATTGTAGGAAACAACTACTCTGCGAACTTCATGATCCGCCTAGCATTTAATTACAGCCAGTCGAGTAAACAGTTAAGATCATTCGTCAGCAGCATTACAAACATAAACCGGTTTCATTCTTATCAGTTCTCATCGGTATCAGTATCAGTCATGAGACGATTTAACTATTTTGATCCCTGATGACATATTTTAATGTGGACAAAGAATATTTGCAGGTTATATATTACTCACACTCAAACAAGCACTTTGTGTTGTGTACATTTTATACATAATTTCGTTTATGCATCAACCTTATTACCCTGTGTCAAGCTCAAGTAGCGCATATATCAATAACGGGTTGCTGATGCGTAGCTGTGCAAGAATATACCAGCCATGAGGAGGAATTATGGCAGCACTAGACAGTAATGACTTGCAGATTACAGCCAAACATGCAACGGCTTCGTTTGATTTAATTATAAATCACTGTTGGTAACACAGTGATATGTAACAGTCAAAAACGAGAAATTTATTACTTGTTTTGCCACTGCAGAAGTGGGCCGAGTAAGCAAAATAAATTCGGAGAAAGTTTTTACTGGTAAAAAAACTAGGTTAGTGTATTTTTTTATCGGAAACCAGAGTCCTTAACCCGCCCTAAACAAATGTATATCTGAATTGGGGTTACTTTTTCATGTCAAACTTCCTATCAGGCTAAATTCTACACAAATATTTGCTTCGCCGACGCCTTTTAATGTATTTGCATTAAGCTGTCCCTTACCGAAGCCACAGAATCCTTTAAGATTAAAGAAAAGCTTAGAATAATGCAGTAGTGGGCTCAGGACGGATATAATATCTTTTCCTATTACTAAAATGTCAGAGTTCAAGATAAGAAAAAAGTAGGAAACACTGATACTGAAAGTAAAAAGGAAAAGGAAAAAATTCTGAATGTATCGAAGACATTTGTTGTACGTAGACATATAAGTCTAGCTTTAGAAATACATGAAAGAACATACGAATGAAAAAAAAACATGAAAAAGGCAAGGCTTTTTCTTTTAACATTTGCCGAAATATAAAAACATTCTCACGGCCTTGTTTATTGAATGTGACATTCCGTCTCTATTGTAGGGGTGAATGCAATAATAAAGAAAGTGCTCTTTGCATAAGAACTACTGTGTTGCTAGCGATGCGGCTGCAAAACAGTTAACAATATCCCGTCTGAATTATATTTTACATTCATCAGTAAAATGTTCGAGAAACCCTTTGACATAGTACAATGAATTGGCCAATTTACTGCCCAAATCTGAGCCTTCCAACTTCTTAGAAAAGTCAGTCGTGAAACGACAACCCGAAATCGACCTTTTACTTGGGCAAGACTTAAGTAACTACAATAACACTATGTAACTTGTCCATTAAATATCAAAAATATAAACAAGTGCCAAAATCGTAAGTAGAATGTAATAAAAATTGGTGTTACTGAATAAATATTAAAAGTTGACCCATAATTTAAAGGTGTAAAACTATTAAATGTAACAATTGTTGTTGATTAAAGGGTCGGCATTTGTTACCACTTCGAAGGCTCTTATTTCAGAAACATCTTGTATATCTTGTAGCAAAAGATCTTTCCAACAATTACTGTCTAAACACCATGTCCATCGGAGATCCCGTAAGAGCAAATTTAATATTCTCTTTGTGAGTTTCAGCGCGCTCATTTCAATAATATACTAAACACTCAAGAGAAGAGCTTCCTCCAACAACAAACATAAAACAAATAAAGTATTTACTTTATGCAGGAAACGAGTTATTGTGTTTAACAAGTAAATAACATCCTTTTCTCATCAATTAGAACGTTGCATGTTTGGTGGTAATAACTAACCTTTAAACTTTGAGCCGCTCAAAATTACACCTTCCCTCGGTTCCTACAAGAGGGAAACCGTTATTCTGAAGAACGTTGCAATTAAGGAAGAGGTGCTTATGTCATTTTGTAAGACTACAGTTTAAAAATGTTACTAGTTTAGGATGTTCATTATTATTTCCTTTCGCTCAAGTACCTAGAATTATAAACAGTTCTCTAAACATATTTAAT